CTTTATTAGTCATTTAATATTAAATAACAACTATTAAACAATGTATAACCAAATAGTTATATCAATCAAAATTATTCGCTATTTACTACTTACTACCAGCTATTGGCTAAATTTTAATTATTATATCAAATAAACCCTAAATCATACTTCCTCTATCTTAGAAATAATTGTCATTTTTTGATATTTTTTCTCAAATTAAAAAGGAAATTGATTTAGGAATAATCTTTTTGTATTGCATTTGGATACTACCTAACAAGTCATTTAAATAATTGACATTTTTTATTCATTTAAAACTCATGATACTGAGTCCATCAACTCATTTAATGACATATAAAAGTTATATAAAAATGTGATATAAAAAGATTACCCTTACAAGCAAAATGATCAAGTCCATCCCCAAAGTATAGTGGCAGGGACGTCACCCCTAAACAAAAAACGAAGACAAATCCATTCACAAAGTTTTCGACTTAGATAAATCACCCCAAATTTAATATGTGGCGTCATCTGACGTCATCTAACGTCATCAATTTGCTAACAATGAACTTATTCGTGACGTAACAAATTAACGAATTGTTAATGTTTGATGATATCACACGTTAAATTTGAGGTGATTTATTTAAATCAAAAACTTTGTGGATGAATTTGTCTCCCTTTTTTGGTCGGGGGTGGATCTATCTCTACCATTATATTTTGAGAATGGATTTGGGTATTTTGCCACCCTCACATGACTGCTCAATTAAAAATTATTACTATCATTCATTATTTGTAAAATTTTCATATTAATTTATATAGAATTGAGGGACTAGGCCCAATGAAAAAATAAGAGTAGTTAACCAGAACCAAGGCTCATTGGTGGGTGGGACCTCTTTTACTCCGATCTATAGCAAGTTTAGTTTTTATTTTAAGTTAAATATTGATTTTAATTTTTAAATATACATTTTTTTTTTATTCTTGATGCAATTTAACTATTTTTTGTTCCTTAATTCTTAGATGTGCACAAAAAGTGTCTTTCTTTAAACTAATTTAAAATACATGTTTGTCTCTTAATATAGATTTTTATGATTAATTTAAGAACCAAATTAGTTTTTTTTTTTCAACTTTAAGGACCAAATTTGTGCAAGAACCAAAAAGGTGCAATTTTTAGGTTCAAGGACCAAAATAAGCATTTTAAAATTGAAAAAGACCAAACAAGACCTATGATTGAGTTGATATAATTTGCAATATAAACTCTCGCAAAGTAGACTAACATATATTAATATTAGGAATATTGCTCTACTAAGAATGGTGTATTCACTATCAAAACAATATATTTTCTTACCTTCCTATTTCTACAAAGTGTGATGGTTTGTCTAAACAACCCTGTAATATCATCAAAAGTTTGAGTTATTGAACTAACCAGATTGATGCAGCCCAAGCTGTTTACTTAGTTCAAGTTACTGACTGTACTGTGAGATCAACCTAATGATAGTTAAGGGCTCACACATAATACTTCCACAGACACACACTACACTGGGTTTGCTTCCACACAAATCACTATAGCCCACCTAGAAATACCAAACCTATAAATACTCCATGGAGCTAATCCCAAAACACATTCATTACCTTGTCCTTTTTCCTTCCCTTTTAGCTACCAAATAGAATATTACTAACTCAAGCATAAAATTGCTTGCCTAGGTCCACTTGCCCCTTCCATTAACGGTTAAGGGACTAAGTGAAATACATAGGGCAAATTGCACTTCACTTTTTTATTATTTTAAATTAATTTGATTAGCTTTTAACATTTATAAAAAATAAAATTGAAATTTGAAAAGTTTAACAAAATATCCTTAGATTGCATTGTATGGGAATTCTTGTCCATAAAAGTATATTGTAATCACAAAATCCACAAAACCTACAAAATCAAATAATGCATATTTATTTGAAAAATAATAAATACAAATTACAATAAATATAAGTGAAATGAGAAATGATCTCTAATTTGGGGTATTACAATTCACTTACTTGAACTTTAATTGATGGTATAGTTTGAATTGATAGTTGGATTTCAAAAAGCAAGGGTCTTAGCTTGATCTTGTCCTTCAAGGCTTTGGAGGGGATTTGAGACTTGGTTTTGAAATTCGTCCTCGACAAGAATTTAGAACGTACCCTTGGGAGTTAGGACTTCCCTTAGTGGGAACTGGAACATTGAGAATTGTTGAGAGTCTTGAAGCTCTAACGATTCCTCTCCTTCTCTTCTTCCCTTCTTTTTTACCAAATGTATAGCCTTTCTATAGGAAAATGTGGCTTGCAAAATGACTTGGAATGCCTTTCAATTTAAGGGCATTTTGGAAATCTCACAAATTCAAATAAAATGATTTAGTTAAGATAATATTCTAATTTGATTTGAAAGATATTATCAAATTTAAAAATCAAGGAATTTTAACCATTTTTTTTGCATGTGTATGTATATATTTGAATCCCAATGCTACAACATCCAAAACATAGGGTTGACAAAATGTCATTTAATATTGTTTAATCCAATCATATTCTACTATATCTCTCTTTTCCAATCCTATCCTACATTCCAATTACAAATGTGCCTAAAGACTTGCTTAGGTCCTATGTAGGAGTAATACTAGAGAAAGAAAATTATATACAACTTTTCTTTGTAAAAGATAATTAGTACAATTATTTTTATTTTTCTTGAGGGGGAAGGGGAAAAGTTGACTTGGGATAAAAAAAATATATCACCTTATCTTGATGAATTCTATTGAGGTTGGTTTGACCACCTACCTCATAATGTAGAGTTTGAAATTATACATACAATTTAAGGAAAAAAACAAAAACACAAACATATATATATATATATATATATATATCTATTTATAAATAAAAATGAAATTTTGTAACTTTGATTATTTACAATTCTTTTCAATATAAAAAAGAAAAAAATCATGAGAATGCATTGGTGGAAAGAGACACAAATCTCATAGGAAGCATTTGGAGATATTTGCCTCTTTTTTCTTGTTGTACACAAATCCACTGAGCTCAAGGTTCACTAGAATTGGGAGGCGTACAAAATAGAATTGGGGTGGACTTTGAGGTTGACTCATTGTTAACTTTAAATTGAGTATATAAAACAAGAAAATCAACAGGATAATAAAATTTATCAAGTTGAAGCAAAACATCTTCTATTATCCCTCTTGGTTTCCTACTAGAACAATTAGCTAGCTATAACACCATAACTGTGAATTTTATCTCTCCAAGACCTAGTTGCAAATGTACTAAATAAGACATTAAATTCACACTTGCTCCTAAATCTGGAAAAGCTTGATTAAACTCTTGTGACCTAATCTGGCAAGCAATTGTTGGGCCCCTTGGATCTTTGTACTTTGAGTGGTGTTTTTTGCCTAATCACTGCGCTCACCTACTGTGTCAAGAATGCAATTTTCTTGGCATGGTGTCTCTTTCTCACGGTGCATAGATCCGTGATCACCTTGGCATAAGCTGATACTTGCTTAATCACATGCAACAAAGGTGGATTAATCTTAACTTATTCTAAATGTTCTAAAATCACCCCTTAGTTGTTTGAAATCTTCTTAGATCTAAGAGCTTGACGGAAAGGAACTTGGATCAAAGCCGCCTTCTTAGGTTCTTTCAATAGGTTAATGGGTCATCTTTGTTTTGATTTGGAGTGGAATCTTTTAATCAAGGTGGTTTTGGTAAAGGCTCTATAACTTTATTAGTACGAGTAGTGATAGCATTGACCCCTTTGATGTTCTCTAAATCAAAGGTAGATTTTTATCAAAAAATGTAAAATTTTCAAATTTAGCTTGATGTTGAGATGGAATCTTACCTCGTTCTTGTACAGTAAGAGCATTGGTCAACTTTGTTAGTTGACTTTTGATATTCTTATTTTCTTCAACTACTTGCACAAGAACATAATCAAACCTTTTGTTAGTCTTAGTCTATGCCTCCATAAATGCCTTAAGTGTTTCCTTTAAAGGATTCCTAGCAGATCATGAATTGTATTGAGGTGTAAGGTAAGACCTAGATGGTTGAGCTTCACTATTCTGAGTACTATTGGATGATGTGGGATGGTTCTAATCAGTCCTCCAACTACAATTGGGATAGTTCCTCTAGTTAGGATTTTGTCTCTGAATAGGGTGAGAAAGGTTTCCTCACCATTCCTAATGCATTACATTGCATTGCTCCTTGCAAACCCCGCTTATGTCACCATAGGTTAAGCAATCTTGAGCTAGATGATCCAATCCCAACAAACAAAACATGAAACTTGAGTTTCTACCTTAGGAGCTATGTGGGTGACTATTATTTTTCATCTTTAAGGTCTTAAGTTCCCTAGTTACAACTTCTAATTGGGCTTTAAGGCTATCTTCCTCCCTAAGATGGTAAATCCTAGATTATCGTGACCTATTAATACTATCAATGGCACTAGGTCCAATCTAAGTGTGAGCCTTCTTAGCTAACTCAATCAAGTAATCTATGGCTTCTTCGAGGTCCTTACGTAAATACTCCCCATTACACATCATCTCTTTAAATTAACACTTTAACATACCCATGATATGGACACAAGTTTCATAATTCTTTCAACCTCTCCCATGCTTGGTATAAAGTTTCACTATCCTTTTGAGAAAATGTGAAAATCTGTCTTTTAAAATTATTGGTCTTGTGGTATGAAAAGTACTTGTTAAAGAAAACTTGGAACTTATAAACAACTTCTAGAAGTTGGAGCTTTGTCTAACACACTTTCTTATAATCTCTTTAATTGCTAAAAGGCAACTTTTCCATCCAAAATAATTTGAAAATTGTCGAAGTTACTTAATAAAAACCAGAAAATAAGCTATATCAAATACCTTATTAAAATTTCTTGAGAGTTAAAACACACGTGTCAAATAGAATTCCAACAGGCACCCTAAATAAGCACTCATTTAAGAATTACTATGCTAATTAAATCTAAGAAGATTTAATTATCAAAACTACCACAAATTTGGTGAAGCTTATGAATTTAAATTTGACCTTAAAAAACTTACCATTCCTAATTTCTTAAGCAAGTTTATCAATTTAACTCGCTTCTGTAATTGAACCAAAGAATAATTGTTTACCTCCAAGCAAACATGACCCCAGGTCGACATTTTCACCCAATTACACAGTGAATCAAGCAAATTCTCAGTGCTTAAAAATAAAGCAATTTACATGCTGCTTGTGCATTTTTAGAGAAGGAATAGAAAAGGAAATCACATTGACTACAGATTGATTGCCGTTGGGAATGAGGATTATGCAAAGATTAGACTAATCCTATAAATGATCAGTCGGAGGCATCAAAATCTATCACTCCAGTGGGGGAAGGTGACTCTTGTTCAACTTTGACATCATCCTGTTGACTGCCCAGCATGACAGCAGTCAACATTAGCTTGCCAGCATAGGTGAAATCCCTATGGTGCATCAGTATTGCTTCTACGGATGTGCCTGTATCAGTAAGATCTGGAACTTCTGGGTTCTCTTGCCTCAGTGGCAGGACTTTATCGAATCCATCTTCAATGGTCTCTGCTCTCGGTCCATAACATCTATTTGAAGCCTGGAAAAGCAGAGTCTGCCTGAGATGCTGCAGGGTTTCTTCATCGCTCCACCCTTCAGTTATGGATGCTTGATAGAGTTGTTCCCAGTGATCCTGATCAGCAGCATTCTTCCAGCACATTTCCAGAAGGTTTCTGTGGTTCCTACGGAATGTTGAACTGGTCCATGCAAATACATCAAAGACCTGCAATGCCAGTTCTCTGTCTCCACTTTTGACGCACAGCTCTATGAGCTCCTCAGGACGAAGGAGCTGCTTGTCAATAGATTGCTTTGTTTCATCAGTAGGAAGAACCTTCATTATTTTTTCCTGCAGGAAAAAAAGACTAGTTATGGACAGAGCATTCACGGATAACGCAGATTGATAACTAATTGTATTTGCAATGATGCTTAAGTAATAAGTGAGAGAACATAAATTAACCAAGTTTTGCCTTTTCAGAATTTGTTTGGAAGCTGGGTTTCAATTTTCATCTATTGAATCACATGGTGCAACAAATACTGAAGGATTTATAAAAGGATTTTTCTATCTTGTCCTAAGGGCACACGTCCATTATGTAATTTATGTTTGATGATGATTGGTAAAACGAAAACGTTAAGGTAAGCACTTGACTTTTCAATGCAGAACTAATGAGAAAAATGCAGTTGACCTTCCAATAGAGGATTCAGCCACCAGCGGAGAAGCATTTTGTTGGCCAAGAGGCCTGAGACTCCTAGAAGTCTTGGCCACGGGGGACACCATCAACTTGCTATACGAAAAGCACAATTTATTTGAACACCTCTGCCCCCTGTAGCTCTCAAATTTTGCCATCAACCAAGTTCCATAGGGTTGAGGAACTTTCTCTCCTGCCTCCTTAAGTTTGAAACCACTCTCGTAATCAAAAACATGTCCCATACACCCACAGATAAAACAAATATCCGGCAATCATTTGTATTTAATTCTCAATTTCCTAGTTTCCATGGACGAGACTAACATTTTTGAAATGTCTTGAAGGACTACCCACCTCTAGACAAATTCGGACTCTTAGGGCCTTCATGAAGGACTCGACCACCTCCAAAACTCAACAGATGGTGCTCCAAATTCACTACCCTGCTGCCTCTCCACAGATTGGAATCCACAAGGAAGGCCAAAAAACCAAACCCAAAAGGGAGCCTCCAAGAAGTCATAAATTTCTGGGCCCAAGGACATGGGAAACCACCGCAGAATAATCAAGGATCAATTGAAATTCCGTGGTGCTTTCTTTAGAATTTTATCCAAATCATAGCTCTTTGCAAATTGAAATAAGAAAATCTTCCCACCAATCTCCCTAGTCTAAACACTAGATTTTGTTTTCCATGATGATGCAACTAATCTTGTGAGGTTGACCCTCCTGTGAGTGTGTACGTTCCCAATCAAACAGAGTTTAAGAGGAGAGAAACGAGTGATTCCAATCACTTTCAAGGGAGAGTTCGGATTTCTCCTCAGCTAACCAGATCCAGCCGAGATGGGAGCCTAGATCTTCAGCTGCTTCCCTAAAGAGGTCACAAGCCTCCCCTGCAGTTTTCTACCACTGCCATCCAACATCTTTGCCAAGATGAAAAGAAAACTAGGCCTACCACTCGAAAGGGGGATGGCAAAACCCAATAGCAAGATAAGGACTTACGCCACAGCCCTTACGTTCTGATATGTTAAAGGAAATCAAGAGAAGGAAGAGAAAAGAGGAGGCTCTATCAGAGGAGGGGAAAACCCTAGGGAAATAGCTAACCTAACCCTAGCTACGAGGCAGTATCAAATCTCACCAAAATAACACTTTATATCTTTAGTCATGAAAGTTCATTTATTTAAGCATGCACTAATGAAAAAGTAAAAGAAAGAACCACTGAGTAGATATAATACGAAACATTTTTGTATCAGAACACAACTGACCTGTAATTTCAAAATCTTCAAATCAGCTTCTATGCGCTTCACTTTAATCTCAGAGTCTGCATCCTTAATGCCTGGTAAAGTGAGAAAGAGATCCAATAAATCAAAGAGAAACATATTACTTTTGCCTGGCCATATGAGAAATCTAAAAATTTTAAAGAGTAAATTACAATTTATTCCCCAACCTTTTAATAAAACCTTTTAAATAAAGTCTTATTTAGTCGCCAGCCTTTATTTTGTTTCAATTAAACCTTCAAACTCTCATTTGTTTGAGATTGCATCACTTCATTTGCTTTTTACATAATGCTTTACTGCTTGACGAAGATGTTGATGTAAGCAGCATGAAAGCACTACTGTCAATTATTAAAGAAAGAAATTGAAGGGACCTAATTGCAACCAAACAAACAGACTGTGCAATTGAAGGGGGAAATAGGTTAAGAAACAAATTTAAGCTTCCTTAAAAGGTTGAGGACTACAAGCATAATTATCAAGGAGACGCACTGTGAATGGGATTCAGACTACATAATAAGAAACCAAATGCTAATTAAAACCACAAGACACAAATATAAGCATAGGGCTGTTAATGGGGTAAAATAAAAAATAAAAAAAAAAGGAACTCTACACCACAATAATTTCACATACATTAAGTAAATTCACAAGTCATGCAAACAACTTATTTGGCATTTCATAAGAACAATAAACACCTTGACTTAAACTTTGAGACATTCCCACCAAAACAGAAACAAAAATAAATGCAAAATTAGAACAAACAAAATAAAATTCTGAAATGGATGACAGTTTATCAAGGCCTATATTTACCTGCCAATGCAGCTATTTTTGAGAGATTCAAAAGCCATCTTCTGTCAGCCAATGTTGGTTGAGGATTTTCATGTCCTGCATCCATCTCATCCTCCTCAGTCAGAATAGAGTCATCATCTTGACAGAGTGCTACATCATGAAGTGTTTCTGAAGCTGAAGAAAACTGATTTAGAAATATCTCATGAAGCCACAGTAGATCTCTGTGATGCTTCAAGAAAATAGACAGCTCTTCATGGAACTCTTCCCCAAGCCTTAGTAGCTTGGAGAATTGCTTTTTCTTATACAATTGCTTAAACACAAAGTAGCTAAATCCTCCTCTAGGTCCCATGCTCTCATGCTGTACAACAGATAATCACAAGTTAATTAAGAAATAGAGAGCATCAAACAAGACAAAATAGTAAAAGCACCCAAAGTAGAAACTTTGTAACAACAAAATCTAATGGTAAAGAAATTGAGTTATGTCATTTGATTGCAAAGAAGTCCAAGTTTGATATGATATCATTCTTTTTTATTTATCGTTTTGACTCTGATCCCAGTGGAGAAGCATAGGGATTTGGAATTTGTCAACACATAACAACAAATCACCCAAACATGCAGATGAGCAAACACAGTTCAAATCTGTCCAAACATATCAACTATTGCGTGAATAGTTGCTAGATTGTGGCAGTGCCCTCTGCTTAACACATGGAGAAGAGAATAGAAATCATTTGCATGTTCTCTAAGAGTAGATAAACAATGGAAGCATGCCAAAACAAATCACCATATCCATACCATAAGGTCCCTGAGCAACACTGAATCATTGAGGTCACAACATATGTCCCATATGGTTTGGTAGCCCTCATGTCTTTTTGCAATAGAAAGCAAATTTGAAGAAAGTTTTCTGAGGTTTTCTTCTTTCTGCTCTTCACTTCCTACATTTATGTCCTGCAGAAAAAACATTTCAAGGAGACATATTCAGTGGACAACTGGATTAAAAGAACATGAAAGTGAATCAGAGAAATAATCACCTTATATCCAGCCTCTACAAAACCTTTAACTTGTTGATAAAGGGAGTCAAGAAGAGTCTCCCTCCTACTGCAATATTCATCCAATAGACCTTTGTGTTCTTCTCCACACTCCATTTTAGCAGTGATAGCACCACTACTTGCCTCAAGTAGAGCTTCAGCCAGTGCCTCTAGATGACCATATAGCTCTGAATTTGAAGATGTACCAAATCTAGATGCTTCCTTAGACAGATGAAGCATGAAAGAAGCAATACTCCACAACCCATTTCGTACTATTGGTTGACAATACCAAAGTGTTAAGCCCTCAGGTGGTGGGTACCAGAGATGATGCTTGACTTTGTAGTGCATGGCTGTACGAACTATAGTAACACATGCATTTGAGAGTTCACATGCTCTCTGGATCTGAACTACAAGTGGTTGCTCTATGCTTATTATATATTCTAGCTGTTTTTCTAAGCAATAAAATACCTGTTCAAGCTCAGAAACCTTACTGTAGAACACCTCGGCATTATCCCTGTCCATTAAAAGAACAGTATTCCGCCGGGCCCTCTCACCAACCAGTTGAATAAAATCCCAAAGAGCACCTGAGATTTGATTATCAGGACTCAGAGATTGGGAGACAGCTATGGTTGAACGATTCTGGCTAATCATGCTTTGCAGTTCCCTGAGTTGAATCATTGCAGCAAGCTTTTCACCATGTTCTAAGATGATTTGCAAAGAATGTCCTGCCAAAGGAGCAATTTTCCTTTCTGGTTATTAAAAGACAAGACAGCTTTGATTTATATAAGAGAGGAAAAGAGAGAGCAGTTGCCTGTTGCCTGAATATCAAAATATGGCCAGAAAACTGCTAATAACAACTGAAAGTCCAAACACCATCAATGAATTATATTTTCAAATAGGACCCCTTAGAAACATCTAGGTACCTCTGAAATGTGATGAAGTAATACATGTGCTATATTAACAGTTTAGAAAGGAACTGGAGATCAAATCCCTTCTATATTTACCATGCAAGTGTAAACGTAGCAGAGAAGCAAAAGAGTTATTAGAATTATAAATATTTATGACAAACAACAACAAACTCAAGGAAGAATGAAAAAGAAAAGGCAATGAAAAAGGCATTCAATCATACTTGGCCCAGAACATAGCTCTTCATGGCACTTGGATAAAGCAAGAAACTGGAGAAAACTTTCATGCTTGTGCTGCTTATCTATGAGTTGAGTGGATACAACAGCCATGGCCAAAATCTCAGCACCTCGTGTTGTTGTCCAGTGTTTAGCTAAGGTGTCAACAATAGATCTGCTTGTCCGTGCAAAAATATTTACTTCTCCATCCCTTTCAAATGCCCCAGAACTTTTAAGCTTTTCCATTACACCATCAACCTTCCCTGATAGCAGAAACTCATGGAAAAAAATACTGAGCAAAGCTTCTGATTCCTCATCTTGCACAGTTCGGCGTGGAAACCCTCTTACAATAGTCTGTTGTCTATCACCAGCATCCAATGCATCTGAACTAGCCCTTCTAGGAGCAAAATTACCTTCAAACATTAGGTTTCTCCTCTCTTCTTGTCCAGATCTTTCATTTGAGCTTCCCTTACGAGACAGGCTTCGTTCAGGCGGTTCAACCCCACCAAGTACAATTGCCTTTTCTGGTATTGCCCATATTCCAGCTTTCTCAGTCAGCACAACCCATGCACCATCTTCCCCATCATCTGTGGGAGGAAGAACTGAAGCATCTAGAACTTTTCCAGCGTCATAAGGTAGGTCAAATTGATAGAGCCAGGTAGAATTTCTATAGTAGGAGACTGTAGCTGTCCCATCACCAGAAAGTATAATTGCCGATCCAGATGGCTTGCCGCCAACTCTAAGTCTCATTGAGAATAAAAAGTTTTCATCCTCTACTCGTGCTTTAGGAATTATCACTTGTATTGGTGCCTTTTTCTCTAAAACCCTTTCGTGTTCTTCTGCTCCAGACTTGTATTGCATTGTCAGGAGAGAATACTGGGTGTAGCTTGAACTGCTAATCCGGTCCTTACAAAAAGTGGCAACAAGAACAGTAATCACTTTACCATGATCATCTACTTGTATGTCCAGAGGCCAAATTTGTTTCTGCCCTGCCAGATTCTTCTGAATGCCCAGATCGCCATCAGTACCAACAATTTCATGAGACCAAAGCTTGGACATGGTAAAATCAGCACAGAGCTTAATGCTTAGACAGTGTATTTCATGATCTGTCAAGAGAAAAAATTGCCTCTCGGGTTCCTCCTCAAAGGAGGAATATGGAAATCGCCAAATTAATGACTTAGGATAGCCCCTGCTCTCTCCATGTTGACTACTATTGCTGCCTTGGGATGTTGAACTCTTGATGTCCTGATACACTTTATTACGGGAGACACCAGTAGGGCTGCAATGAAATTGCCAAAGCTCTCCTCTGCAACTAGTTGCAAGAGCAATGCATGCATGTCCTGTATTAGGAATGGCAGAAGCAATCAAAGAGTTAAAAGAAATCAATCCATCTGAACCACTTCCATGCTTACTACGTTGTTGCTGCCTATCTGGGGTTATCTTTCCATCAATAGGTGAAGAATTTGATGATAATTCATCAGATGATGCACAACTGGTAACAGGAATCCTTCCAGCATCACGATAAATGTCAGGCCAGTACAAAATAGCTCGAGTTGTTCGGTTACACATTACAATACCTGCAGAACTGCAATGCTGTGCAACTTTGTTCGTTCCTCTAGATGGACTATCCCAATTAATAACAGTAAGTAACCACCTTGCATGGTGACAAGAATCTCCCTTAATATCTCCATTCTCTAAAATATTAGAAGGAAGTTCAAGAACAATGCATTTTTTTGAAGCTGTGGATGACAAAAAACTCCAGATAAAAAGTTTGCTTCCACATATAATCCATGATAGGCTTGTGTGCTTATCCATTCCACCAGATATAAATGCACCACCTGAAAGAGAATGTGAAAAAGTGTTCAAATTAGCACTACAGGAGGAATCGCTGAGAATTTGAGAACAGCAGCAGTACTAACCAGGAGCATGCTGCTGCAGAAAGCTGCCATGTTCATCATGAACTGCTTGGGGAAACTCCCCAACAAATACAGGCTTAATAGGATCTATTTCATCCCCTTTCTCATTTTTGTTTGCTTGAGGAATTCTAGGAGCAATAAGACACAAAATGGAAAAAAAAAAAAAAAATTATAACTTGCAAAACAACCAAACTTTAAGGTAGGCTAGAGGGGGAAGCAAAGGATTTATAACTCTTGAATTTCATCCAAGCATGACAAGACAAACAACTAAACCACAAATAACTTGTGAATTCATTGTTTTATGAGATTCAAAAATAATCTATAGATTCTGAAATCAAATAGAAGTCCTTTGAGGTTGCACTATTTAACTCATAGAGAGTGGTAGCCATGCTGCATTTATGTATTGCTAAAACTGAGTCTCGAAAAAGAATGTTCTCAACTGACAATCCAACCCAATTTTTAATTCCTCATATGTATAGGACTTTGCTTATGCAACCAAAGTAATAATAAACATTTATGACACAAAATCATAGTCCAACTGCCACTTAATGATTCATTCCCTTATCATTTTACTCAACAACTGAAACAACTTCATCCATTTATTTAATAACTGATGAAAGAATTAGGAAATAGGGAGATGTATTCCTAACATAATGCAAAGATTTCTACAGGGATTGCCATTATAAAGCAACCAGATTACCATCAAAACATGCAATTGCAACAAACTTTTTGATCTTGGTTGCACAATGGGAGGCAACCTCTCCCCTTAACAGCTTAACCCAGCCCACCCGCATGGCATGCAACTCAAATTCAGGTGCCCTTACTTCCAACGGAAAAAGATTACCATTAAGCTACTTAGGTCATTAGTGCAATTGCAACAGACTTGCCCTCCAAAATATCTACATCTATGTTAATGTGCATAAATCTGACTTCACTTCCGTAAGATTAGCAAATAGCAATCAAAGCCAGAACACAAGTCTCACCGTCATAAACTACGTAAAAATGAAAGTTGGAACCACTTACCTAGCAAGAACGGACAAACGAGGAGCCCAAGGAGCTGGAGTGCCGGTGCTGGGACGGTTGGGGATTGAAGTGTCGAATGCTGATCTACGGTTATCACCGAGGGGAGTTATGGGAGAATCAGCCACCCTGACTGTCTGCCCAAGATTTCTATCCTTCCGGGAGCTGAAATTGCTTCTCTTTATTCCTGGACTGAACATTTTTAGGCTTTGAGAGAGAGGTTTAGGGTTTATGATTGTTTGCGAAGATGAGTGTACAGTTGGCACTTGAAGAAAGTGGGAGTGAAATTTGAATTGCAATTTTGATGATCACATGTGCTCCACCCCATGGTTCAATCCAATGTAGATGCCGTTGGATTAATTATTGACATTTTGATTTGTATCATATGGTTAAAATGCCTTGATGTTGATAATTTTGAGTAAAGAAGTTGAAATTTAGGTTTACGTACGAAATTAATTTTCTTAATTTGGCTCATCTAAGGTGCGCCTTTAGATCTCTCGTTATGTGAAAACAATCCCAAACCATCCTACCTGTCAAATATGTCTGGGCCATTAGATCGTCCCCCAAAACTGTATCTTAGTTTTTGGGCCTGTCAAAGTCCCTTTCTTCTGTGTTTGTGGCTTTGTATTGACCACCTAAAACATCTCCTATCAAGATCTTTGAATCCGAGGTGGCATATCCATATCCTCTACTTCTCTCAAAAAATCTACATGGAAATCCACATCCACTACATCAACCAATAGGCTGCTGCTGACATGGGCATTGCCCGATCCACCACAATCTTCTCCTCTCCAATATAATCCACCTCCTGTGACCAAGAAAGGCCATAGTAAAAGGAGCCAGTTCATAGCCATGGCCACCTTCGCTGTCCAACAATCCGCATTTTCCGGCCAGACTGCTTTGAGGCAACCCAATGAGCTCATCCGCAAGGTTGGTGCCGTCGGCGGCAGCCGCATCACCATGAGGAGAACAGTCAAAAGTGCTCCCCAAAGCATCTGGTAAGTACCTCCTCCTGATGTTTAATTTTTCATCAAATCTTGTTTTACAATATGATTACCTGAATTTGAGAAAACAGGTATGGCCCGGACCGTCCCAAGTACTTGGGTCCTTTCTCCGAGCAAACCCCATCGTACCTGACCGGAGAATTCCCCGGTGACTATGGCTGGGACACTGCTGGACTATCAGCTGACCCAGAGACATTCGCCAAGAACCGTGAGCTGGAGGTGATTCACTGCAGATGGGCCATGCTCGGTGCTCTCGGCTGCGTCTTCCCTGAAATTCTTTCAAAGAATGGTGTCAAATTTGGGGAAGCAGTCTGGTTCAAGGCCGGAGCTCAGATCTTCTCCGAGGGAGGCCTGGACTATCTCGGCAACCCCAATCTCATCCATGCTCAGAGCATTCTAGCAATCTGGGCTGTCCAAGTTGTGCTCATGGGATTCGTTGAAGGATACAGAGTCGGTGGAGGTCCCCTCGGGGAAGGCCTGGATCCAATCTATCCTGGTGGTGCTTTTGACCCACTTGGATTAGCTGATGACCCTGATGCATTCGCAGAGTTGAAGGTGAAGGAGATCAAGAACGGACGCTTGGCAATGTTCTCCATGTTTGGGTTCTTCGTTCAGGCAATTGTCACTGGAAAGGGTCCGATTGAGAACCTGTTCGACCATATTGCCGACCCGGTCGCGAACAATGCCTGGGCTTATGCGACTAACTTTGTCCCTGGAAAATGAGAAATCTAGTTTGATGTTGTAACATTACTCGACTGTTTGTGGTGGATTAAGTGCTGATGTGATTTACTTTCTATGAATTGCTGCTGGTCTTGAGCTATAATATATGATTAGATCTTTTGTACATGAACTTGTACCTTTCATGTTGGTTGTGCTTTAAGCCTACTTAGTGTGCTTTTAAATTAACTTTTTAAAAATAGCGGATAGTTAATAGTTAGTATTTCTTTCTAGTATTAATCTCTCGTATCCGGTAATCGGTCCCAATTAATCCGAAATCAAGTCATGTTGAACCCCATTTGGGAGGAGCGCTTTCAATGCCTGTTTCTCCATTCACAAGACTTAAACTCAAGACCTTGTTTAAAAGATATCGAACTTTTTCCACTCGAATTAATATACCGTTGGTTAATAATTAGTATCTAATTGTTGATAATTAGTATCTAATTGTTGATAATTATTATTGTTCAAAGTTAAAAGTACCTAACCCATTTGATTAGAACTAGCAGCTAATTGCTATTAAACAAACTCCCATCCAAACACCCTCTTATTACTTAGCTAAACTTGAAGAACCAAGTCTAGGAAATGTTTAGGATTACTGTGAGAGGTTATGATTGTATTGAACTATATTGTGTTATTTTAGTATTTAATTATTTATTTTTAAAAAATACTGTAGGTGACATAAGATAAATTTTATTAATTATTAATTAAAATATTAAAAATATTATATGATATATAATTACTAAAATAGATAATATTTGCTACATTTTAATAATTTAAGTTTTTTAGGTTTTTTCATGATAGGTGTTCTTTTGGGTTTTGGAAGAGAGTAACTCATAAGAAAGGTGTTGAAGGATGAATTTGTATTGTCTTGGAATTTACAATAAGTGCAATGCCACATTAGTAAGACCGGTTTTGAACTTGCGACTAAAAAGGGCCCATATGATCTATTTCCACATCAAATTTGTTATATTTTATTGTTTTGCTAATGGCCACAATGGAGTTAGCTTCACCAAAAGCAACATTTATCTACTTCACTGAAAATATTGCAGACATGATCTACTTCAATACCATTCTCATATACATGACCAGACATGGCTACATTTATCTCCACAACATGGATGGACGTTTTGTCATAGTCTTGATCTCTACCACTATGTTTATTGCTACAATTGGCTCCTAACAACAAATAAAGAGCCTATCTTACTAGATATACATAGCTCCAATCAAAAGACAACAAGTTGATTTTATCACATCTACATAGCTCTCGGCAATGGACAAAGTGTCAAACATTTATTCTACATATCTCTATCACTAGTTCCCATCAATGGACAACGGGTTAATTTTATTACATCTATATAGCTCTTAATGATAGATAAAGGGTCAAACTTGCTATTGTACTTAGTCTTTTAAAACGGACAAAAGACTACATATTTTTACACATCTCCATTAAACCAACTCCTAAAAACGGACAAGGAGTTGGATCTCTACATATTTTATTTTACTGGCTCACGAAAATAGACAAAAGGTTAGCGTAACTTGGTATGAATTGCGTAAGGTCAGTAACAGTTGCAACCCTATGATTGGTTGGGATGGTTATCCTTCAACAATAAAAAGCCATCAAGTTGTGGCCAACGGCTCCTTGGTGGTTACCTATGCATAGTGGTGTGATGCCTGGTGGGTAAAAACAACTAGGACCATCCTTGGACGGTGCGAGTATAGCAAGAAAGGTCATTGTTTTATCATGGTATCACACTTTGTCCATAAAGGAAGCCATAGATGTGGCTGGTAACCCCCTTTCCATGGACAAAATTAAACCCATTTCTTATCACATTCATTGCTATGCTAAAGTCTTGGATTGATGAGATTTATCCCTTTCATAGCTTGGCAGATTGCAGGGAATGCTCTTCTAATTCCACATAGTTCACACTTTAGCCATGGGCAAACCTAGCCACTGTTATCCCTCTAGCTATGGAAAAGCTATTCTTGGCTGACCTAGCGATATTTAACATGGTTGATGGTCATGCACATCATTATTTTCTCTATACAAGGGGACCAAATTACTAGTCACTGGTAATCCTAATCTACAACATATTTCTTCTATATTTTTATGTGTTAGTAGGTATTGTTAACCCATGGGACTTGGCTCAATAAAACAACTTTGCAGCACACATCCATATCATTCATCCTCTATCTTAGCACATCACCAAACTTATACAACAATATTATACAAATGCCTCCTATGGCTAGTGGATAAAGAGGTGCAGCAATGCTTATTCTCCTTATCCCCTTCAATAGACAAGGGAGTGTTCTTCTTTACTACACATTTATATATTTTACACTTATACGTTTGAACACATACTTATTCATATTGCTCTTTGATGCAGATGAATACAAACCCATAAATCTAAGCTCATGAGGATCATTCGAGATAAATTATAAAAGTAGTAGCTTGGCAAGCATGGATGGATGAACGTTGCTCACTTGGCGGAGTAAGGTATTCACACCAACCAAGCTTGGAGCTAGCGATGTTACTCATCTTCGTTAGGAAGGGTTGGGTGATAAACACATGGAGGCAAAACTTGATCCCAAAACTACACCATTTGATGTTAACTAAAAGGTCTAGAATCCCATTAACAATCAACCAGAGATGCCATTTGAGTCTTCATCTCCATCTTGTAGTTGTGTTTAATGCATGGATGGCTGCACAAGTTTCATTACATGTGAAACTAGTGAAAAAGATTATATTTTACTTGGAGAATTATCAAAATCTTAGACAAAGGTGGTTTTGTTGGCAATGCTCAATTGCACACCAAATATGGTATTTTGTATGGACAGGAGTTACCAAGAGTGGGAGGTCTCCAACGAACTAGCAATCCTTCATCAAAAACATTGGGGATTTCATTATTTCACTCAAAAGGCTGTCAGTAGCGCTCAAATCCACCTAAAACTTGACACCTATCCTCATCCAACCCAAATCTAATTGTTGGATAACTAGGCTACTCTGGCCCTACCTACTCAAAATTACCAAAATGCCACTATATATATTTAATTTTTTCTTCATTTTTGAGGGATCATTCATTCACACAACAAAGAGATTGAGTAGGCCATTCATGCAAAAAACACCATTTTTCCTACAAAATCCTTCATCTTCAACTCCCTATTTCTCCTACAAAAATTTCCCAAAAAGCTCTATTTTTCTAATTTGTTTACACTTCCAGCTATATAGATACACTCTATACTTGCAACACGTCATAGGTGAGGAATTTCATGCTATAGTTTAAGATTTTGGGTTGTCTTTCTTGAGCATTAGAGGGTCAACTAGAAAGGTTAGCATCAACAAGTGAGATCAAGTCTTACATTCAATGGCCCTCACAATGGTCATCTTTCCTTCTCCCATCACTACTTTCAAGTTTATTCTTTTTGTTTGTGGAAGCTTGAAGAAGATTATTGTGTCTTTAACCACAACAAGACGGTTACTCATTTTAGAGTGGGAGCATTTGTCAAGGATAATAGAGGGTACATTTATTGTGTTTATTATTATGTTACAATGTACTTTATATAAATGTACTTCTTAAGTTGTAAAAGCTATTCTTTATATTTTCTATCCTTGCTACTCTTACCATAACGTATATCTCATTTTCATTATTTTTGATGGTTCTGTAATTGTTCCTGGCTCTTGAAACCTTGTCATCGCTGCCTGGCTCTTCTAGCTTAGCCGGGGAAATACTTTCAGCCTTTGTTGGAGAACTTGGATCGACCCATCTATCACACCCCAAAACCAGGAGCAGAACAGACACCGTGCACTCATGAACCAGTCCCACAAATGCACAAGGTTTGGAACTTATGGTGTTCATAATTACCAAAAATTTACTAGTCCAGATGTACAAAGTTTATAAAATAGTCATGGCTATAACCAAGGAAACTCAGTATAAAAAAAATGATTTATCAATTCACATCTATATCAAACTTGTGTGGCTAACGGCCTAAGTCTAAAAAGGATCTAAGTCCAAAATACTGACTAGCCATCTAGCTTGTCACTCCCCCTGGTTAACCGTGCCTCGGGTCTTATTACCTGAAATGATGGACAAAGAAAACTATGAGATAAAAATATCTCAATAAGTAAAAATATGGGTAGCCCATGAGTAAAATTTAAGCATGCCTAATAAACAGTTTAACATAACAAAACATTCAATGATAAACAATTAATGTAGAATAAGCTTTAGTAGTAGTCTCATGTATAAGTTATAACTAGCGTTTATAAACCTCCCACTAGCGGGCACAGTAGTAACCAATGTTTTATCCCATTGGCAGGATTTCAATAATAACCAATGTATTATCCCATTGGCCGGATTACATAATGAACTGTTCCGATCAGTAAACATGTCGACATGTGCTAGCATTTATAAGCCTCCTACTAGCAGGCATAGTAATCAGTAATCATGACTATATTAGAGACAAAACCATGCAGGATTTACAGAAAAATCCGTAATTCACAATCAATCTCAAATTTCAGAAATAAACTGGAAAATTTTCATGTGGGCATCGATTTAACAGAAAAATCAGAATTTACAAAATTTTCAATTCATCAGGGCAATTAAGTAAATTCCAAGTAGGCATGCTCTTACTGAATGAAAATGAAAATAATTCCATTTCAAACCAATCATGCTCGGTGCTAATAAAATCAATTTAAACCTTGCCACCATCTCAAAAACAATTTAAAACATATTTTTACTTTGAAATCAAAGGGTGTTACCATAATTTACTTACCTCACTTACATAACATAGAAAATTCACTCCAAGTGCTAGGGTGACAGAACAATCAATAACCTAACCAAAATATTCCAAAATTAATAACCATATCACCAGACATCTCAATTGCATTCTTAGTACAAACTAAACATTTAAACCTTCCTATTGTTGGCCATTAGTGCGTGAGCAGTGGACAGTAATTACGTAGTGAACAGTAACTGCAACTCCCAGAAATTAGCAAAACAATAGCTAATTTCACAGGATTTTTCTCCATAACCTCACAGCAGCTAATTAACACTCAATCACATAAATTCTACTTGAATTAATGCTTAAATTGTCTTAATTGCTACCGGAATTCCTCCCCCATTTCAGCAAAAATTCGAACAACACAGGGCAGCAATCAACTAGAGTAAATTCAGCAACTAACGGTAATTTGGACTTAGATGGAGCTATCACATACCAGAATTTAGCAAGCAAAAACCGGAGCTGTAGTTTGGGGAAGGCCAGCAGGAAGTGCAAGGGGAAATTCGGGATCTACCAAAAATTGGGAGGAACCAACAGAAATTAAAGTAAACCCAAGCCAATTCAAGGAAGAAAAGAGGAATTAATGGTTGTTTCCCCTTACCAGAAACTGGAAAAATCACACCCACACAATGAAGAGCAGTAGACGGAAAGAACAAAGCAGAGCAGATCCGAAAATTTCTGCAGAGGGGAAAGATTTCAAGGCTCCAAATCTTGTTCTTAAACAAGAAAAGAAGGGAAAAACACAAGCTTCCTTACCAGTTTCTCAAAGGGAGGTGCTGTCGATGGCTGGGCTTATTTGTTCGGTGTAAGGGAAGAAAAAGAAGAACAGAACACGCCAGGTAAAGAAGAAAGAAAGAAGGAAAAAAAATCAGCCATCCTTATCCAAATTTTTTTCTCTTTTAAGTCCCTCAAAATTTGAAAATTTTATAATTAGGTTCAACAATATTATTTTCTCACAATTAGGTCCCTAGCTCACACTTAATTGTTCTAGGAATTTTTGGGGTATTACACCATCTTTGATGGACAGAGGGAGATGGTTCGTGGCCCATGGCACGTAACCTTTTGCACATGAAATGGGTATAAGCCAAAATGACCCTTCTCATCTCCCATAAGGGAGGTATCCTAGTTAGTTTCCACATCATTGTTGTTGCCCCATCAACACCCTACCCCAACAAAAGGCATGAGTTTTTAATTTTTTATGAACTCTTCAAATAAATGAGAAGTTAGATTTAAATAAAATATTATAAATTGTGGTAGAACTAAATTAAACAAAGTTGGATTTTAATGGATAATTTTATAATTGTATTAAATATTTGCTGTTGTCTATAAAAACCATAGTTAGAAAGTTTTGAAATAAGGTTTTTAGTTATATATATAATTGTTGTGAATCTACTGCGACTTTCTATAACTTTTAAAAAATGTAGTTTAAAAAAATTATCAAACACACATATATTTAAAAGTATTATACAATTATAAGAAAAAGCCTTAACCCTAGCCCCAACCGCAATCCCAAATGCACCCTTAGTCAAAACCAAGATCTCTCCAAAAATTATATGCCATTGGATAAAGTTTTCAAGATACCTTGATTAGATAAGGTTTAAAACCCACATCCCTATACTTTAGTGAAAAGCCTTTTTGGGTTTCTAAAGCTGAAAAGGCCCATTTTTAATCCCTAAATTTATTTTTTTCTGCTTTTTCTAGTCCCCATTAAATTTTTGCTAAAATCACAAGTTAACTAACGGATAACATTTATCTTTCTTGTATAATTTTGTGTAAACATGACTTGGAAAATCCAAATTGTAAAAGAATGATGATGTGGCATATCTTATAAACAATTAAATATGAAATAGATTATAATAAGTATATTCATAATTTGAGACCCATTTTATATTCATTATTATAAAAAGAATTGTAAAAGTTGAATTTACTAATTTACCCTTAACCCATTTTCTACTCTTCTCCTTTTCTCTCACTCCTCTTCTCATTTCCACCTCCAATGGAACCAAATCAAACCATAAGGTTTAGCAAGGCTTCGAGGGGTTGAGCAACTCATGAGGGTTGCACCAAGGCCACAAGAGTTTAGCAAGGAACTAGATCTAGGTCTTTTGCCATCAATGCAAGGCAAGATTTGAGCGAGGAAACTAGAATTGGGATCTTTGTCATTGCACAATTGTCCTAAAGAAACCTAGATTAAGTTTCTCTTATATTTCCTTTCTCTTTGGGTTGAGCAAGGTATTAGTGCTTGGCATTTTTGATATTTCAATTTTGCACAAGAATGAGAAGAACAAAATTGTAGAGGAAAGAGAAGTTGTGGTGAAAATTGAAATATGCAGTGCAGACTTGGCTATAATAATGAAATTTGCAATTTGTAATTAAAATTGAAGAATGAATGAAGAAGATTATGAAATTTGTAGTATTAAATTCACATTATTAACCTAATTTATTGTAAAAATTGTTGTGGAGATTTTCAATTAAAATTGTGTTTTTGATTTGCAATCATAGAAAATGATTTTTGAAGAACAAAAGTGGAAAGTTTTAGAATTAAACTTTCTCCTTAGTCAACTAGTTAATTAAAGGTTTAGTTTTACAATACTTCTCAGTATTTTAGTTTTTTATTTTTATAACTTTTTATTATTTTAAAAATATACAAAATGTTAATTAAAATAAATATTAAATATATTTTATATTTTTTGAGATGTTAAAATACCAAAAAACTTACAGCTACAGTTATATGTCAGCATTGGGAGACTAAACCAAAATCAATTAATACCTTAGTTAGTAATTAAAGTTAATTATATTTTAATTCATAAATTATGTAAATTTTTTTTTATTATTTTACCAATCGACCTAAGATATTTATATGAAATGCTAATATGGATTTACAATTTTATCCACATCATCATTTTTTGTGTGCAAAATTTCCACGTAATTTATATAGTAAAGAAGAAATCAAGTAGTTTTCATTAGTTAACATCTTATGTCAGCAAAAATTTAACCGAAAGACTAAAAAGAGATTAGAGAAATTACTTTTAATGACTCAAAATGGGCTTTTTGTAGTATAAAGACCAAAAAAGTAGCTTTTCACTAAAGTACAAAAAGAAAAGTTATAAATAACGACGTTAACTTTACATTTTTTTTCTATTTAAAGAGATTAATTTTGTCAATTTCTAAATAAAGATATTAACTTTCAACTTTTTTTATTTAAAGATGTCAACTTTCAATTTTTTTTTATTCATGAATGTCAACTTTCAACATTCATATATGTTTGCCACATTAGCATTAGCATTATTATCTAATTAATCATTAAATAAAAAAAAGTTGAAAGTTGGTATCCTTAAATCAGAAAAGTTAAAAATTAACATCCTTAAGTAGAAAAAAACTAAAAGTTAGCATCTTTATTTAGAAACGGCTTAATTTAACAAATCATTTACTAACTTTCATATTTTTTTTCAATTTCATCTATTATCTTTGGATTCTTCCAATCTTGTCTACTATCTTTCATATTCATTTCAATTTTGTCTAGTTTGTTATCTTTGGCGGAAAACTCCTTATTCTATTAGAGAACAGTTAGTTCTCTAACTATATTTGTTTTGATCTTTTAGTCCTCAAATTTATATTTGCTATAAAAATAGTTTTTGTACTTAAAATTATTGTTCCTTGGCACTTATATCAGATTTTTCTATAGGTTTTTCAGAATTTAACTCAGACTACTATTGACTAATGAATAGATGGTATGTTAAGCTCAATAAATGTGGAAATAGATCTACTAGACTGCTAACAAAGATAATCGTTGCTTAGCCTTTTTTAATCTTTTCAAATCTTCATTTAAATCTACAACTGTTTGCTTCAACTTTTTAAGATTCCTAGATAAATAATAATCATCTTCAATATTACTTATTTTTTTCTAAAATTTTTACTATTTTATTTATATAATATTCGCATTGTTGCTCATAAATTATCTTGTCTACAACAATTTTTTAAAAAAAATCAAGCATCTTAAATTATAATGGTTTAATATAAAATGGACTTTTCTATTCAAAATATAAGAGGTCAGGCACTATTTCCCCATCATTTCTCATTTCAAAAATAATCTAATGTTAAAGAATAATTGTCATGCCCCAACCCATAGGTTTAGGCATAACAAACGACACACATCTATAAGGTAACCCCATAAATGTATAAGGCCATCTACCTACATATCAATATAGTCTCCAATAAAGTTTAATGTAGTCTTGTAACTTTAAAATAAACAATTCTATTAACAAATCTTAATAGTCTCCAAATAACAAGATCAAATCTCTTAACCAAAACATATAGTGATTAACATCATATTCCGTAAAATCAAATAAGCTTCTAATTGAGCTATTGCTAAATTTCTACCAATTTATTCTAACGATGTCTCAATCCCCATGCAAAACCCAATGCTCATACTTCTTCACCTGAAATGAGATGAAATTTAAAAACGTGAGTTTAAGAACTCTGTAAGTAGTATACCCATCCATCTCAACCAAGCATAAAAATTTAAAACTGAATTTTTTAATTGAAAATGAAACGATATAAGAATACAATTCTTTTCTCGAAACCAAAATACTTCATTTTTCATCCCTTATGGCTGTGTAACAATTCACAATCCACGATCAATGATACTCAATCATCAATCCACAATACACGATCCAAAATCCACGATCCAAAATCCACAATCCACAATTCACAATCCATAGATCCTAAGTCTATCACAATACTAACAACTCAACCCTCACAAGGGTGAACCATACAGCTAGGATAAACAAAAGAAACCATTCCAAAGATAACCATTTCAATAATATAGGAGAAAAACAAATTTAAATTATCCACCTCCACATGGCCACAATCTCATCTCAAACTTAAATAAAATATAATGCTTGGTCCACCAATCATCTCATTCCATCAATAAAAACATTTTAGTAAAAATCATTCTCTAAGAAATAAATAAATAAACAATTAGATAAATAAATCAAAACTGGAAAAACCCATTTAAATCCATCAATTTACTTTAAAAACACTGGCGGGTATAACTACTTACCTTAATTACTATCTTTTAATTGTAATTCTACACAACTACTTGGAGCTTAAAGAAAAACTGAAAATAAATATAACTCAATCACTAAATAGAATTTAACTAGTGCTATTTAAACATTACAGGAACTAATCCCAATTTCTCATGTCATCCATGTCCTACTTTCTCACTCAGTTTAGTATTTGCACCCACCATCACAATAATAAAGCTATTTCTACACCCACCTTGCTTCCGCATGATAAAATAAATGAGTTAGAATTTTACTTGAAAATCCTTTGGACTAGCCTTCAGTCAAGCAAATGCTTCCTTCGTCCAACCCTTAATGCCAAACTCAAGTTATAATGGGTGTCCAGACAGGACAAGTGACTTCACTACTGCCTCAGTTTCTTTAGGATTCTTCTCATTTTCTTCTCATTTTATTTTATGATAGAAATAAAGAAGGATAGAAACACAAGAATTATTCTAAAATATAATTTTATTTCTGAGAAAAGAAAGGGAAAGTTCCCTTTTCTCTTGAAGGGTGTTTACAAATGCATAGTAAAAGGCTTTCAAGTAAGGTATTTGGATATTCAAATGCCCAATACCTGTTACAGCTTATAGGAGGCTTTTTATAGCACTTTTTAGAATCTTTTCTTTTGTCATTGCTAACGATTAAAGTTTACATTATT